TTACCATTTCTTGCTGTTTTATAATTAATTAATTAATCAATACAATTTACTAATCTTGCTTGAACTCACTGTTAACATTACTATGCATACTCAAAGAAAGTGGCAAAGATAGAACGATTATTTAGAATTCATATGATTTAAATCCATTATGCCAAACCCACAAAACAAAATGGCAAAACTTATGAAACATTAAATGGTGTATGAAGCTATTAAGATGTAGAATGGATGAAATGTACAACCAATAGATGATTTTCTGTTCACTGCGAGATCTCGCGTATTGCAAGAAGACGCGGAACAAACGATTTGATTTTGAACTTTTTCTTTTTAATGTCGAAAGCCGATCTCTGAGAAAAGTACATTGCGCTGAGATACCATTACGTCATCAACATTTACCATCATGAAATGTGTATAGCGCATTATTAAGAGTGAAAGTACCCCAACAAGTGTTTAGCGTTTATCGAATCCCACACGATGTTTGACGCCACTACATCGCTATGACCTTTGTTTGCCCTGTTTCGTCCGATTTCACGCATAACGCCGAATCTCGAAGTGAAAAGAAAATGGTCTATTCGAATTGTTTTTTAAAAAAAATGCATAGCCTACTTTATCAAGATACTCTGTTCCATGTGTACCCAAAACACAATTAAATATCGCATAACTATCTTTAAACATGCTGTGTCCTAACAACCTTCATACTAACAACAACATTAATTATTTATTAATATCTTGACTATTGCTAGTCATATGTTCTCGTTATAGAATAATCCTCTCCCGTGCTACCGTGTAACATAACATAACAACAACATAACAACAACATAAACATAGCAACAACATAAACATAACAACATAACAGCGTAACAATTTATAGTGGACAGTTATTTGTGTTATACACTGCTACTCTTATACACTGATACGTCACATAATTGTGCTTTAATTAATCAAAGGGAATATGTGAACACTGACCATAGTCTTCTATTTAGGGCAGTCTTCATAATATCTTATATTTTCACAGCTCCGGGCGCATGCGCGGCTGATCCATGCTACAATAACGGACAATGTGTGGAAATGGGAAACACCTACTATTGCGAATGTCCGACTGGATACACAGGCGACAACTGCGAACTTGGTAAGTTGTACGTCTTGTATTATTTTTCTCAAAACCGTTGTTTACTGCTATGGCATCAGTTTGCGCCATGTGCATAAAGTAATATTGAAAGTTGTTGCACAAAGAAAAGCTGCTGCCAAACAGGGTAACCGATGTTTATTTATAAGTTGTTATTTGATGACCCAATGACAAATTGTAAATCAAACCTTTAAGTTAGTTAGAGTTATGTGCGAAATTAAACCTTGTGTAAATATTTGCAGTTATTGACTGCCATTGCCTAAATGCTAATATTTCGTCTAGAGTTGTTGTCCAGCATACTCAATGTATTTGTAATTAGATGTTTGAGATGATAGCAATGATTTGTTTCGTCAATTTCAACTGAGTATAGTTACTGCATATACATATCGAAACAACACTAACACCGCTTATTGCAACATCGTGTTGCTTTAACTGACAAAACTGACTTGTTCTGATATCCTCCGGTACTATGAGTTATATACAGAGCGAAGTTTACCGTATACTACATTCTACTGTATTCCGGTAACACATGCCCCTTCAGATTACAAAGGAACATGCTACACACACCATCGTTCTTACATAACATGTCAATGATAGTCGACACATCCTTCTCTTGGTGGTGTCTGTTAATAATTACAGCTTTTACTATACCCTATGCTTTTATTTTGGTCTTATGCTAAAATGCAGCTGTTTAATCATTGGAATGAGTATTTATTTGACTTCTTCCATTGCGTCTTTCATACTAATACTTTCATTCGCACATACACATATATATAATTTGCATATGTGATTAACTCACTTGCATTACACATTTTTCATATTGCTCTCCACTCATAAACCACGACCATGAACTACTAGTATATTCATGGTTTCATTTAACCCAATTATTCACCAGTTTGCTCATGCATCACTCGTTTCTCAACATCAATCATTCAATGTTTTTGCCTAGTCTACGACCCATGTGTGAATAGTTTGTGTACAAACGGAGGAATATGTATGCCAATAGATGGGACCACTGCGTATGAATGTATATGCCCACAGGGTTATACTGGAGTGAATTGTGAAACTGGTAAATTAATATACCACGCTTATCATATATGTAAATAAAACAACTCTTGATATTTTTGAGACCGCATCATTTTGCGAAATTTCACAGACCATTTCATAATTTGCACAGTAAATGCAGAAAACCCAAAAATAAAATTTGTCTCGTAAAATGTCAAGACAGTTGCTGTATAACAGCTCTCTTTTTAAACTAGTCCCAGTCGTTGTAAGAGCATGACAGTTTATACATTGGTGTTTCTTCCCCGTCTTCTGCTGCCGGTATATGTAACTTCTACCTCTGTCCCTGTCTATCTATATACCCATCTATCTATAACATCTAAAACCCATCGGTGTATCAATCTATGTATGTATAGTTATATTTTAATTGAAAATATTATAATACTGTGCTAATAGTGGAAATATTTTTGCTTACTTCACAGTTGTTCATAATTTCAGTGATTTTAAATTTTTATATTACAGTTCTCAATGTAATTGGGCACTAACAAATTAGTGTAGATAATTGGCCAACCTTAGCATAAGAACTACTGTAAAACTATTTTGTTTTCAATGTCATTTTACAGTTTTGGTATCTAGTGCATAGTCAGTGGGGTTTAAATTCACGAATGAGTTATATTGTTAATTTACATGATCGTGTAGATTCAATTAAACGGATTTTATTTATCAACGCAATAACGAAATTAAAACCATGTCAATATTCAATACATTTACATTATAGTAAGCGCAGTTTAATTTGTTTTTATCACTTTCGTTTCGAAAAATATATATATGTCGCACTTTGTATCATTAAAGTTGATTTAATCAATAACGATTTCCTCTAATACTGCCCAACCAAATTTAAATTAAGTAACCATATCATATCTAAACTAACGTTGTTGTTGTTGTTTTCATACTACAAATGCCTTATGTGGATAAGTAGTGATCTGTTTCTGTAATTTCATTGTTGTATTCCTTAACTCTCTTTCATGATAGGAATAATATTAAGTTCATGATTATGTAATAGACCCTAGAGAAAAAGGATAAGAAACTGAGACAAACAATTACTGGCTGTAATTATAATTTGAGTATCTAAATCCTCTCATGCTGTGTTGCCATAATTGTTGAAACAATGCAATTTGTGTGTACCGTTTTTCGAAACTGTGTGTTAAAAAAGATTCTAAATTGTCAGTCTCCACGTTTCACCACCGATGTCATAGTCTCAATAGTTTATAAAAACAAATCTTGTGACATTCAGAAGTCAATAATATGTGAATGTTAGCAAAAACGTATATATATTAAATGTAATGTGATTAGTCGATCATGGTCTGTGTTAGTGTTATATACATGTATTGCAAATCGTATACCACTCCTTCTCAAAATGAAGGATATTTTGCACATTGTCAATTTTTGTTTACCTGTGAATGATTTTGAATAAACAAGAGATGTTCCAGCATCGTTAAAGACCACTAACGCCAATTAAGACTTAATTAGCATAGGTAATTCTAACCCAGATTGCCTCAAAGACAATGTCCCAGTTTCCTATATCTCTTCTTTAGGGCCTATTTTTAGTCATGTAGATTCACTTTCACGATGATGCCCATACTAAGTTCACACAAAAAAAACTGTCGCTTCTTTGTGATATTCTAGAAGTGAGTGCTTGCAGCTCATCTCCGTGTTTGAATGGCGGCACGTGCTTTAAGGCTTCATCAACGTCATACGTATGTTTATGTGTCATTGGCTTTACTGGAATCAGATGCGAGACCGGTAATTATCACATGCACTGAATAGCACTTATTGGCATCGATCTCCAACGAAGTGTCAAATCATAAATTACGTTACATATGTATCTCTGTGTTTTTGGTTTAACTTAAATCAAGGTTTTGAACTCGATGAAATGTATTATTACGTCTAAATAAGCCAGACACATTTCTTTGGAGACTGACTGTCATTTAATACCATACTACCCGCTATCCAAGTATAATCTGCCTTCTCGTAACAGCAGTATTTCATATTTTCAAATCTATGATCCATCCCAAGCTGTAGCCTAGAATTAGTTATCAGCTGCATTCGATAGCCTCACTCTTTGTTTCTATCGAACACTATATATGTTTCGCACTGTATAGTTTCCGAACTTTGTTATTTTAAGCTCCATATATTTACCTTTTTAATTTGCTTTTTTTATCTTGGGCTTTTTATCCTTATCCCATGTAACCCACTATGCACTCTTTAGATGCCACCACTACTACTGAACTTTGCACTTCTAAACCTTGTGAGAACGGCGGCACTTGTATTCAATTGTCTAACCAGTACTTGTGCCAGTGTGAGGACGGTTACTCCGGATATCATTGTCAGAATGCTGGTAACGAATCTTATAGTATTTAAATCCATACTTTGCATGTCTGAATGCATATTCAAAGGGGTCAAAGTTCAAAAATGAACGCAACTCTCCAACACACCTAACACATACATGGGTAGAATTCTTTAAAAATAACGTCGAAATTTCAGGAAAAGGGAGTAAAATGGTTCTAATGGTGTTTTAGGTTTCCGGAATGCTTCGCGACAGACACTTTCTGTTTTTGCATGTGACTATATACAGTATGGTATATGGGTTGGTTGGAGCACTCTACGAACTTCTCAGTTAACAGCACCGACAATATGCACATTTAATACAGGCGATGATTTCACTTATCAAATGTCCCAAGTTTATAATCCTATTAGTTCAACAATTGCCATTTATACTCGAGTGATTACGAACATTTATTGAATATGTTTTGAATTGATAACTTGTGAAGATATAGCATTGAATGTATGTGCTATTACGATAATAATTACATTTGTTCATAACTACCACATACATGAATACACACTGAAACTTTCAGAATTTGTTTCTGTTTACAACACCATATGTTCTACTGACAACATAAACCTGTCATACGCATCGTTGTATGATGAGATTGAAGCATGAAGTAAGGGGGTCGACCATTTAAAATCATGGGGGTGGCTGGAATATTTTGAGACAATAATTTCAAGCTTGAAACCGAGAAAAAAAAGTATACACCGCGTAACAAAAGGGCTGGTTACAACCGTCCAATCACAGTCAGCTGGCGCACAAGTGAAAATACATAAAAGTTTTAAAGTTTATGCCGTATTAAAGATGACGTCCCCCATATAGTAAACCTCGCATTTATTTTATTATCACTAGTGTGCGCCAGCAGACCGTGCGTCCAACCCACTCCCATGGTTTCAAGTGGTTGACTCCTAAGCATAATTTGCATCGCTATTGCATGAGGTGGAAATCTAATTGTAAATATAGTATATTGGATGGAACATAATCTGTTGTATCTTTACAGCCAATCCTTGCCTATCCAGTCCTTGCGTCAACGGAGAGTGTGTCAGTTTCATAGCTTACTACACGTGTAATTGTCCAGCTGGATACAGCGGTCAAAACTGTGAATCTGGTAAAACAATCATATTGTTTTAAACATCGAAAATATACTTTTATACGATTATTCGGTTTCTCATATAAATCAAAATGTTTTTTTTTTATATTTGATTCCAGCTAGCAACCCATGTGCCAGCTCCCCATGCCAGAATGGTGGTGTGTGTGTGAACAAAATCAGTTCATATTCCTGTCATGCGTGTCTGGATTCTCTGGCACAAACTGTGAAATAAGTAAGAGCACGTTTCTTGTGAATTGAATCATACGTATTTATAATAATGATATTACATCACGATGGGCTGGGTTCAACAAATATATCTCAATATTATAATGAACTGTTGACCTTGTGTACGGCAATGTTACATACATACTTGTATACACTTAATAACAATGGTTTGTTGTTTTGTTAGCTCCATGTAGTAACAGTCCTTGTCAGAATGGTGGTGTATGCAGGGTTACGGGAAGTATATACCAGTGCACATGTGCTAATGGCTGGTCAGGAACCACGTGCAGTCAAGGTACGTACCAGGTTACATCGTTGTTCGGAGTTGCATGTGAATCTGGCCAATGAACACTCGTGAACTAAAGAGAAAAACTCAACACTGATAAAACGAAATACGGTGGCTAGGGTTGTGGGCGTCATAGCCAACCAAAAGCCCGGGTAGGAAAGACACTATTGCGCTCACAATTTGAGTGTTTGCACGATTGACATATAACGATTGACATATTCATCTTTTATTTTAATACTCTATTTGCATGTTTATTCTGCATGCAGGTGGGCCGTGTAGTTCTAATCCCTGTCAACACAGTGGAACCTGTGTGGCTACCACGATCTCGTCTTATATGTGTACGTGCACTGCTCTATATATTGGAACCAATTGCGAGACTCAATGTAAGTGGTCATATTCGTGTCGCCCTAATTTGCATACAACACTTCAATGATGATTCAACTATCATTTCACATAAGTTTGCTTAGTTATTGTATGTGACTATTGACAATGGAATGGACTTGATTTGACTGTGTTGGGAATT